CCCCCCCGCCCCGTCCCGCATCTCACATCACTCTTCTCCTTGTTACTGTGCGTACTGGATTTGGCACTTTGAAATCTCCCATACCAATTGTCTCAATTAGGCTTGCTATTACGCAGGGGAACTGGATAAGAGATGCCAGCCAGAAAATGACAAAAATGGCATAGAGAGCGCATTACACATATTCAGCATTTCCTTCCAAAAGTCAAAAGCAAGTTGGCACATCAATAATGTCTGGATCACACCAGTAAGCTGACCAACCGATGAAGCAGCTCTTCAGTCACACCAAAAGCCTCCCGCAAGCTACGATGAAATGCCGCAGATTAAATAAAGCTTTAGAAAAATTCACTTAATTTTTCGACAAAAAATAAGCGCAAAATCGGAAGTTAACAAAATTTTGTGCAATTACTTTGTCAGCTGCTGCTCCACCGTCGTTTTCCTGCAAAAATGATACTGACATTTATTACCCCCAAATTTTACGACCGACTTTTCGCTCAGTGCACAGTCTACTCCTCCACATGCATACCTTTCAAAATTCATTATAAAACGAAAAAAAAAAATAAAATAATCCTTTTCTGTGTCATTCTTTTACCGATCAACTGACAATTCCCATCATCTCCGCAAGTAATAAATGTCATCCCCTATTTACAGGTTGTACAGACAGATTTGCGAATCAGAGATCACAAAAGTGAGCATACTATTCGCGTCTAATGTACTTTCGTCATTCTTTATAACAGTGACACTGCGAACACCGGCTGCCCTTCAGATGAAGCTACTGGAGGAGCTTCGCACTGACAAGACCGATGGGGCGGTCGGCGTGGGGATCTAGATCTAGTGATGTTACTGGGGTTGTTCAGACGCGTTAGGCGTAGCTGTGCTATGCTCTCAAATTTTGCATTGGGTACTTCCAGCTGATATTCCTCACAGCCTAGTCTATACATGTAAGTTACACCTTTACAATAATCTACTGTAATTGATCCATTCGGTGTAAAAAACTAATAAAAAAAATTTACAGCAAACACAGTCGAAGCTGAGACCCAGCTTTAGAACCGCAGCGCGGAACAGCACCTAACCCAATGATGCACCGTTTAGCGGTCACCAGTGCTGAGCGATCAAACGCACATTATGTTCCCTCTAAAACTATGCATCTCTCCTCCCCCCGTCCCCCTTCTTTACTCTCAATGGCTATAAACTACGAAACTAACAACGGGTCACCACAACTGGTTGTCAGAGTGATCTTGATGTTCCCGTAAATTAACTTAAAATTTTGTTCTCTTATTAGCAACTTTTCTTTAAGCAGCAATTTTCCCCCGGTTAAAGAATCTTTGTTCAAACTTTGAACTTTCTGACCAAGTTTTGTACTTTCTCGCTAAATAGTAAATTGTGGCTGGCTATTGCAAACTTTTGCATAATCTTCAGCAACTCTTTCTTTCCACAGCTCAAATTTCATCTTCCTGTCCTGTTGCAAACCAAGAAAAGGCAAAAGCCAGTCTTCTGCCCATTGGAAATTAACATAAATAAGCATGGTCTAAAAGCTTACATATCAGCGACATCCGTCGTGCTCATTCCTTGCATTGCCTGCGTAAGAGGTT